GTAATTTGCTTATTTCGCGCATGCGCACTCTATTTTGGCCAACATTCACATCAAAAGTGCCGACAGAGAGTTGCGCTACTGTATGTACTGTGACTATAATTTAAATTATATAGCAGTAGTCGGAACTAGTTGCTCATTTGGAGCCGATTCCCGAAGCGACGCTCATTGTTCCTTCATCGCTCGCCGCTCGATAGTTGAGCCGCCTTTGAGATACTATTGCAAATGCGTTTTTTTTTAAGTTAGGACTAATCCATTAAATAATCGATGAAGATAAACTATACAACTTGGGAGTAAAATATTTTATAATGTAAAACATTTAATTAAATACAAACAAAAGAGAATCGATTATTTTTCTAAATAGTTAATTTGATCTTCTGGATCGTTTGCACGGTATTAAAGATGATATATCCACAGGGATTGTAGATGAACTAATTTGCATCTATGAAGACAATGATGCATTGTTCAGACGAGAAAGTTTATCCGTTTTTATAAACTTCATTTTAGACAAGGAATATTCGCAATAATATGTGAACTCAAACATAAAAAAAATTTGAAGACCAAAATTTCTTAGTTGTGAATAACGCAATACATCTAAAATTTTGAAAAACTCGATCCCCTTTTCTTGTCATGTTTTTATAGAAATCTCACATTGCAAATCGCAAAGTTTTTTCTGAAAGTCTAGACTTTGTTCCTCGATTTGCACAGTGAGGAGATTTTCAAAAAGAATTAAATCTTGTCTTAACGTTTTGAAATTATTGAAACGCGTATTAAATTAATTTATTAAAGATTCAATTTATATTAAATTGTTTTTTGAAATTACACTTTTTACCGTGTTCTTCAAAAAGAATCTGGCAGGAGAGGAAAAAATGAAAATTATTATTTTCTAAATGATTTTTAAATAATGTTAACTTTTTGCAGAAGGAATCGATATAACCAACGAGTCCGAAATGGTTTGGTTAGTTTTTGCAGTTTTAAGTTTCAAATATTTAAACTTAAATTTAAATTTAAAAAAAAATAAAGTTTAAAATATTTAAGTTTAAAATATTTAAAATATTTAAATTCGTCAGTTATTCGTTAGTTATTAGAGCAAGCTCACAAAGTGAATCTAAATATCTTCAAAGAAAAATTTAAATTTATTATACTCAGCAGGAACCTGATCTTGCAAAAACAGAAAGACCTCTTCTCTTAATTTTTTTTTTAACATTTCCCTATGCTGAGCCATCGAATTTCACAATACAGGGGCACATCTGTCTAAATAGCGTTATGCTCCCCGAGAAAATTTTGAAATTTCCGATGAAAAGAATTTTTGACCGCCTTTAATTACGTTAATAATTTTTGTGGCGGTTTGCACTGCAGTGCATAATTTTACAACTTTTCCGCATAACGCTTCTTGATGTATGATGCAATGAATAAGGAAATTTTAAACCTCGCTGCTTTATACTGCAGAATTCATTTTTCGTACCTATCATTGCCTTTGCACCATCTATTACGATAGCCGAACTTCAAAAAATCTATATCAAATTTTTGAAGACCGATTAACAGCTTCGAAAATATTAATCTCTCTTGTTGTATTATATATGGCACTAAATCTAAAAGTTCCTCGATATGTGAGAAATCGTTTTGCACAATTCGAGCAAAAATATTTAATTAACTCACATGTCGATTATCAGTGCTTTTATCGAGACGTAATGAGAAGAAAGAACAAAATGTTAATAAAGATTTTAATTTTTTTTCTAAAAAAGAAGTAATATCATCGATTCTTAATTTTACAATTTTGTCACTTAATGGAATGCTGCTAGTTTCTTCAAGAGTCACAGAATTTCCGAACAACTCTACTACTACGATGAAGCATTCTTTTACAATTTTTCCATCACTGAACGGCTTTAAATTTTTCGCAATTAAATTCGAAATTGGGTATGACGCTGTAAGAGTTTTTTCCGAAGGTGTAGCATTATCACATGTGACAAAAGGATTCAAACTACAAACTTGTTGATGAACTAATTTTAATCCCTCAATCAAATCGAATTTCTCTTTGTCCATATATTTCAAATATTCACTTGAATATTTAATATTATAATGAAAATTGTATTTTTTTACGACAGATGGTTGATAACATAAAAGACAGATGATTTTATTATGAATAAGATGCAAATAAAATTTTTCCCACGCCTTATCAAAAGATTGCATGTATCAATCCATTTTTTAAACGCATTTAGTAGTAATATTATATCAGAAAAAAGAAATCATATTCACAAGTTTTATACTTATAACTTTTTTTTTATAGTAGTAAACTTCGCATAAAGAAAAAAAATTTCGCTTGTAGTATTGTAAAACGCAATATTATCACATGTAACTCTATCATACGTAAAATTATTACACGTAGCACTATTATACAAGTACGTAGAACTATCATACGTAGCACAATCACATGTAATACTAACACTATTACCACTCTAATAGTATCTTCTATTTATATAAATTTATAGTACGAATCCATAAAACTCTATGTTTCTCTATAATCTCAAATAAAATCTTTTACGTACACGTCATACACATATCGCTAGCAAACGACTCTTGAAAAGCAGCGAAAGCGAAAAAACCATGTATATCAGCGCGCAGCAGGAGTACGTGCGTATATAATAAAATCGCGAGGTTTAAAAATCTATTATGAATATTTAAATCTTGCAATTTTATTATATAGTTTTATATTATTTATAATAAATTGTTTCTCAATGATTTTTTGGTAGCGAAACGTCTACGTTAAAGGTTTTATGCAAGATTATATAATTTTGGGCATTCACTGTGTGTAAAAAAAGAACTACTACAATATTAGCGTGCTAATAGTATTTGTGATAGATGATAATACTATTGTTACGTCCAAGCTCCGGAAAATGGATTTAAAGAGAGAAGCGAATAGAAAAGATGAAGTGTGGAAGGACGTGATCAGTGGAAGGAAGTGATCAGACTCTTGTCTCGCAGGTATCCGCACAGAGGCAAATACCTCGAGTCGAACGCACCCTTTTTATTGCTCGCTTCGGAATATAGATCAACGTCTTGTAAAGACGCTATGACACCTGTTTTCTACGAGCGGTGCGATCATCGGTCCGAATTTCGAGTCAGTGAAATCCCTTTAACTCGGGAATGAACCACGAGCTCTGAAAGGGCAAGGTTTAATGATACAAGGTTTTATTAGGGGGTTTTAAAAGTGAATAATGAGAGCGAGAGGAATAAGTAACATTATTTATTGTAGTTAACTAACAAATAAGGAAAATACACGGTTATATGATAATAAGTTATATAATAATATTTATTATATCTAATCTATACATTACAACAGTTACTGACGCAACAGTCTATTCTATGTATAACGGCTATACATTTTATGTACACTGTGTTAGAGGAGGAATCGAATAGGTTTTGCTTAATCTATTTCATGGATGGAAGCAGAGGAAGGAGGGAAAAGATTGTAGAAGAATTCCACTAGAACTAGGAATGGTGGAATTCGGGAGGAATACAAGAATACAGGAGGCTGAGTGTTGGCCAGTGATGGCATTCTGGATTTCCTCGGAAGGATCGAAATAATGAGGGCCGATTGTGTAGGCTCCCTCAGAGATAGATGCGGTAGTAGTCCGCGGGAATTGACTGATGAGTGACTCGAGAGTGTCATTCTGTAGGATTCGGAAATAAAATCTAGGTGAGGGCGAAAGAATTTCCTCTAAGAAATCCACGCTAGCCGTGGAGTTCGTCGGGGACGGAATTCCTCTGGGGGAAATTGGATAGGATTGACCGACGAATCGGGTGATAGTATTGGAGAGTAGGGAGAGTATCGGGAAAGATTCGCTCCGTTAGTGTGTCCGAAAACGCGGGTGATGGAGATCGAAGGGGAGGCGAACGATTTTGCGAGGGAGGTGAAGGTGTTTGAGAGGGAGGTGAAGGTGTTCGAGGGGGAGGTGAAGGTGGTTGAGGGGGGAGTGAAGGTGGTTAAGGGGGAGGTATAACCTCTAACTGGTTAGGTATAGCCGGCAGAGCCGGTGGTGACGAGGATGGTGGTGGCAAATGGTTCTCGGCCGGGCGACTCTGATCTCGCGAACTCCCGAGGTATCTCCGGAACTCTTCATCCAAGAATCTCCGCGTTTCCCGGTAGGCTCGGCTTCTAAGCCACTCTTTGTAGGGACGGTTTAGAGGCGACACTATGATTTAATGTAAGTTATAGCGGATATTTCTTATACATACACATATATAAAATAATCGTTCTGTAAATTCTAATTTTTAAGCGCCTAGACAATATCCGCGAACCGAGTAGTTTCTTAACCGAATAGCAGCGAAGCGTGGTCACTTACATTACAAGACGAGAAAAGATTTAGGGCTTTCGAAAATAAAGTACTTCGAAAAATCATCGGGGCAAAACGCGATGAGGAAACGGGCGAATGGAGAAAATTACACAACGCAGAATTACATCAATTATATAATAGTCCGGATATTATTAATGTCATAAAATCGCGTC